GACGACAAAACGCCTAATACGGGGTGCCCACTACGGACGAGATCGTCCCATCGGGCCGATCGCCCGACTCGATCAAAAACAAACGTGTTTGTTTTCATTTTCAGGCGATCGAGTCGGACGATCTGCCCGATCCAGACGTAGTGGGCACCCCGTATTACCTCTACACCACAGTCGCCTTTGGTAAGGTTCACTATTATAAAACAACAATTAATTACGTTTGTTATTCACTGTGGTTTGTGTTGGTTTTTTTTCTTTTTCTGAAGGATTTCTGAGGACTGTAGTGTTAATCACTACTATAAATAATATTTTGTTGTGTTATGGAACGTTCTATACTGTCGCATAGTGACAGTTCATAGCAGTGAAGGCTCAACAAAATACAGTACATCTTATATCTCATCTTATCTCACGTCATCTCATCTCATCAAATCTCATCACATCTTATCTCATCTCATCTAATTTCATCACATCTTATCTTATCTCATCTATCTTATAAGTGGTGCCCATCGAAGGATCCATTCGATTCGGTTCAATTTCTGGCGGCTTCAGTGCACACTATAAATTGACCTCTGCCGCAACCCGATTGACCGACTCGCGGCCTAGAAAACAAACGAGTTTATTTTGTAGTAAGGGCTGACTGTTGGGGGATCGGGTCGGGTCGGGTCGGTTTGCTAGCCAGATTGAGGGCGCAAAGCGGCTATCATGACACAAGCCAATCGCGCCTGACTCGTCGCCTCAAAAACAAACTCATTTTTTTTCAGGCGACGAGTCAGGTGATCACCCCCTACCCGACCCGACCGGACCCGACCGGACCCGACCGGACCCGACCCGACCCGATCTCATCACAATGGGCACTTGGTTTAATGTTATCGTCGGTTTCATCCGGTCAGTGCCACTATGATAGCTTTCGCCCTTCCATGGAGGAAAGGAAAATCTGATCCCGACGACCAAGCCACACCGAACCGAACGGATCCTGTGAATGAGCACCGCCTTGAATGTCTCTTACTTGTCCTTCAGGAAGCACTGGGAGTCCAGAGTGACGTGATCCAGACTCATGTCGGCCAGGTTGGCGGGGTACTGGCAGATGTAGTGATTGATGGCGTACACGTGGGAGGGAAGCACGAACTTCATGGACGCTGGAACAGACGTGTACGGTCACCAATAATTACATTAATGTTTTTAAGGGGGAAAAGCATTTAGGAACAGACGTGTACGGTCACCAATAATTACATTGATGTGTTTAAGTTGAAAACGCATTTAGGAAGAGACGTTTGCGATCTTCAATAATAACATTAATTTTTTTAAAGACAAAAACAAAGCAATTAGGACGAGACGTTTACGGTAACAAAAACCCCCAT